AAATAATCCTCTGTGACTAATTAGTTTTTTAATCATGGTTTTTAATTGGTTCTTTTTAATTGTTTTTTTAAATATTTTTAAAATAATGTTTTGGGGGTTTTCCTAAAAATTCCATCCTACTAAAAATGTGTGCTACTTTTGTATAACATTTTTCAGACCCCTTGGAGGAACATGAGTTAAATAGTTGGTTTTATCATTGACCGCCATTTTAAGGAACATCTTGTAGCAAAGATTCTGTGTGCTGAGTGTATATTGTTAAATGGATTTCAGAATTCCAGTTTGAATGATGATAGCAAAGATTGATGGAAGGATGGGATTGCAGTTTAGAAAATAATTAATTTTTTAAGAGTCTTGTGATCATGTCTGATTTGCTTTTCTGGTTGTGATGTCTGATTCAACTGCTACTGATGCTGAAAGATATGCAAGTAAAGACAACATGCTGGAATATTAGTCATGCTAATGTGAAAGACATGTTAAATTTAAAAATTCATTTCCCATCCTGCTGCTGTGGAATCAATATGTAGACTGTTCCCAACCAAAGCAAGAGTTGTGGGATTGTTCAGCAAGTATAATTAAAACATTTAATTGACATGAACTTACGAATTGCTAATTCCAGATGCATGACTGCATGATCAATGTGTGAAGCATATGCTAAGGAAAAAAAAAAAAAAGGGCAAATAATTTGGTACTTTTCAATTTTCTTTCCTTTTTTTTGAGCTTACAGATCTAAAATACATGGTATGATAGAGGTAGTCTGGTTTTTTCTTCTGTATTAGTAGTTCACTACCAACAGGATCACTTTATGAAAAACACAAAGGTAATTAATGACTGACTTTTGCACCACAAGACCCAAAGACATAACACTGGTAATTTTTGTTCCATGTTTCCAATGTCTGTTTTTTGTGGTTGCTGCAGGAGAGGGGAGACATCAGTGACACACTGAGAGCTGTAACACCGTCTGTTCCTTGTACTGTGCTATGCAGACTTTGTATGCCAAACTGATGTCAGTTTTCTGACCCATAAAGTCATTACAAACACACAATGCAGAAGAGAGGATGCTTATAGCAGAGTGATGCTAATGCCTCACGCTTGTTTAACTTTTGGAAGAACATCATACTTTTAGGGATAGACTAGAAATCTAAAATGCAAACCTGAGGGTAAATAGTACAGTCCAGGTGAAACAAACTTTTGTGGCCATTTTTCAAGGCCAAGGTTTCACCCACAGGCTGTTGCAGAAATAGAAAAAGGATTTGTTTGTCCCATGTCCTACTTTTATCATAATAACATTGTTGGAAGAATTAATGAATGCAGGCTACAGCATGGTTTTTGTATGTCACCAGAAAACAGTGTTTGAAGTGGTTTATTTGATTGTGGTATTGCAAGTCCAGGGTCAGTAATAGTTGTTCTTAAGTAGTGTTTATGGGTTCTTCTTTAAAGAGAGGGATTTCTGTACACTCATTTAGTGGTAGCTCTGCCCTGATTGTAAGCTTTTCAGTCTCCAAACTGGTAGGTTAAATGGAAAAGCTACTTTTGTTGCATAGTTGCTGACTCCTTCTTAGTTCAGCATTATTACTAATAAACGAAATGTTTTCTGAATGTGTCAGTGTGTGGTGTTACACAGAGGTGTGAGCACTCACTCCACACCGACTTCTATGGTTCAGATCAGATTTCAGTCTCAAAGTGGTGACAGAGATAGCAAGCAAGCACGTGCATGTGTGTTACAGCTGTGTTAGCAGCAATTGCTCTCATAACAGTTGGTAGTTGCTTGTGCTCATAAGTAGCTCATTAGTTCATCTGAGGAGCTGTGATCTAATTAATAAAAGTAATCTGGAGACTTTCTTCTCTCTGTGGCCAGGAGACCATAGGTACCAAGGGCTTCATGAGGAGCAGTTTCCTCTTGACTATCCAGGTCGAGTTTGTCAACCAATATAAGCTTAAGAGGTGATGAGGACAATTACAGCTGCATCACCGTGTTTTTTGTGGATGATTACTGGAAAACATGGGTAATGCACCATTTGAACATTGAGAAAAGAACGGCAGCATTGATGGGTCAGAGGGAGTTGGAGCTGTCCTAAGGTCACCAGGAGCTCTGTCTGCACAGCTGGCCAAGACCCTGCCCTTAGTTTGGCCAACAGGTGACCACGCATTCCCACTGTGCTCCCAGCAATTGTCTGAGCCATCACTGGCCTCCATGAGCAGCAACCTATCAAACAGTAAAAGACCAAAGAAGAACAGCTTAAAAGAGAATACAAGTGGGAATTACTGACCTGTGTAAATACATAAGTTATGTTGCCCAGTCTTTCCAAATGAGTCTGTGAAGCCCATGCCATTATTTCCTTTGCTGTGTTTCACGGCAGATGGCATACAGTTACCACATCCTGTCAGTGCTTCCATGAGAGTCACTTTCCTCCATTAACCTTTTTCTGATGATGGGTGGGACCACCAGAAATTCTGCAAAGAAAAGTTATATTCTGGTTAGACTTTCTGGTGGAAGCTGTATCATAGGGTGTCCAAATGGCAGTGGCACTAGTGAAGCCCCCTTGATTCACACCTGACCAGATCTTTCAATGTAAAAAAATTGTATTTGCATCAAATACCTTCCTTCCTTTCTTTCTTTCTGTCTTTCTGTCTTTCTGTCTTTCTGTCTTTCTGTCTGTCTTTCTGTCTGTCTTTCTTTCTGTCTTTCTTTCTGTCTTTCTTTCTGTCTTTCTTTCTGTCTGTCTTTCTGTCTGTCTTTCTGTCTGTCTTTCT